CACCTAGGGGGTGGGGGGAGGGACAAGGGGGGGCCACTGTGGGTCTGCTTCTCTTCTCTCTTTGAAGCCACACAGGCCTTAAGAACAGTCTAGAGCGATGGTTCTCACACCTTCGCGTGCGCCAGAATCAGCCCTTTCCTGATGTGGCGGGTCTGGGGCGGGGCTGGAGAATCTGCATTCCTAACACATTTCTGGGTGATGCTGAGGCTGCTGGTCTGAGACCACACTTTGAGACCCACTGGCCTGGAGAAGGGAAGCTGAAAAGGAGGTTGTACTCTAATGCTGGAAAACCCCACTGCTGACACCAGCTCCCCCTCCCCCAAGGTCTGTGTCACCGGAGGCCAGAAAGAGAACAGGCTCTTCTTAACTGACAAAAAACAGATGTCTGGTTCTTTTCAGGCAGAAGTAATTCAGACAAACACCACCAGATACTAAAAGAAAATCATGTTAGTAACATCTTTTTATGGTGGTGCCTTAAAACACCATTTCTAGCCTCTGCTTTTGGGCCACTACCCCCACCATGGTCCAAGGCCTTGGAATGCCTTTCTGATTCTCCTCCACCAGCCCCACAGCGCCCCCCGCAGGTGGCCTGACAGAATCTCAATAACATCTTGGCAAACAGAGATATGAAGTTTGGTATCATTTAGGGTTAAACAGGAGTCTTAACCCCAGTGTTGCCACTAACTAGCTACATCTCTTCCTCCCTCTCTGGGCCTTGGCTTCCCCATCAATAAAAGGAGGATTGTGGACAAGCTAATAAGAGTGAAAATGATAAAAGTTTTGATTTTTATAGTTTCCTTGGCACTGGCACACATATTATCTTCATTAATCCCTGTGAAATAATTTTTATTCCCTCCCCTTTTTCACAAAGAGGAATGGAAAACCACAGTCACTCTGAGGACCCATATAAAACATAGCCACATAGAAACTTCGTGAAAACTACCACGGAAGACATGGTCCCTTATGTTACTCAGTGTCCCTTGTATAATAATTTATGTTTAAAATTCCTCCTGAAGGTTAGTGCCCAATAAACATGTCCCTTTGGAAGACATAATATGCATCGTTTTACAAGATAGAATCAACTTCCTAGCCCTTTATGTTTTTCTTTTGTTCCAGCTGCCAAGAAGCTGAGAGCTAATTGAGCCAAGATTGTAATAACCAATTTAAATCTCAAATTCAGGGTAACCTTATCTCTCACATCCTCTGTATCCTCATGCCTTAATGTTTTCTTACAGAGATGACCTATGATTAGGGTGACAGTGTAATTTACCATCTCAATGGGACCCTTTTCAGAGTAAAAGGGAATAATGTTGATAATTATGCCAGAGAGATGAAAACCAGGACAGTCCCAGGCAAACTGGGAGAGGTGGTTACCCTACTTATGATTAGAAATAGAATGGGCAAAAATTATACACAAAGAGCACTCAATTTGACCTTGTAGGTGCAGGAGTTTTGGGTCTCATTAAACTCAGTAAAGTCACACAGTGAAGACAGATTATCATTCATAGGAAACAACAGCAAGGAAAAAAAAGCTCTGAATGTATTTCAGACTGAGGAGAGAGAGGGTATAGTGCTGAGAACCTTCTCCCTTCAAGCATGCTTATACCACTTCACTTCCTGAAGCCTCTGCCTCCTAGACACATGGAAATATGTCCTGTGGCAGGTGGTAGCTCTCAAGTTCCTTAGAAGAGGGGTCTTAGGCAAGGCAATCTGTTTAGAAGGGAAGGGAGGCTTTAATCTGAACTGTGTAGCTCTTTACTGAAGATTGGAAAAACTTGTCCATCTCAAAGAATGGGATGGTGTTGACAGAGATGGTGGGATGGAAAAGCCAAAGTCACCAGGCAGTCCTGCCGTGTCGCAGAGCTTGCCCCCCAACATTGGCCTGCTCACACATTGATAAGCTCCCCCGTCTCCACTCAACCCTGCTGAAGACAGGACTGACCGATTGGTCATTGCGGATCCACGGAGGCACAGATGGAGACCACCTGCGGGTTGGTGCTCTCAACAGACAACTAGGTGCCCTCGTTCATACCCAGACACACTACCTGATGCCTTTCCCACCTTCCCCTTCTTTAGTCACAGAGGCTGGGGAGCTTGTTGCCTCCAGGGGAGTCAGGGGTGAGGGGTGGGCTGCTCCAACACCTAGAGTCTTGGGTGTTACAAGAGAAGCAGAGATAGATGTGCTCATGTCCAAGAGCAGGCCTGATAAACCAGCTGTGCAAGCTTCAGCTTCCTGGAACTCAGGAGTCCACAGTGCCCGCCCTCCCCGCCTCTCTCAGCCGCACCCACTCAAGCTCCGCCCCCTGACTCCCCCGACAGATGGGGGGGCTCACCCAGGCTGGGGGAAGCCGCGGCGTCTCTTCCAAGAACCACCACTAGAGGTCACTCTTCTCCAACATCAGACAAGGCGCAGGGCAAGGCCTAGCTCCGGCTCCGGCTTAAACGGCTCTGGAAGGCGAGCCAACTAGCCCTGGTGGGAGGTGCTGCCGGTGGCTGGCCCTCGCCCCAGGTGGAAAGGCCCTCCTTGGAGATGCAGCAAGCTGTGGGGTTGGCCCAGGGTTGCTGAGGAGAGGCAGCACTGTGCTGGAGGCAGGGGTGAGATGCGGGTGGATGAGGGGAACGGCCCATCTTCACAGTCTTTCCCCTCGTCCAGTCCGTTCCCTTGTGGAGAGAATGCTGTGCTCTGTGGGGATCCGAGGGACTGCCCAGGGGCAGGGCTGGGACTCATCAGATCCAGGGAGAAAGACTTTCTGCAAGAGATGAAACTTCCGGGAGCAACAAAGGCGGGTGCAGCCTGCAGAGCACACCAGCTAATGTGTGCAAACTGTAGGGTGCGAGGCACGCGGAGGTGTCCACGCCCGGTTTCAGTGGGCCTGTTATTCTCTGCGGGTCTGGACACCGTGAAAGGGAGGCTCGGGCATCCTGTACGAGCCATGCTGGGCCAGGGCTCACAGGAAGGCCCCTAGCCTGGCTTGCCTGTGATTCCCTCTCCTTGTGCTCTCCTTTTCCAAGGGTTTTTCCCGGAGGCCCGGTTTTCTGTGTGATAGCGGTTCTTTCCAAACGGCCTAGTTTTCTGGTCACAACCCATTTTCAGCTGCGAGCCAGAGGGCTTACTCTGTATACAGATGGAGACACTGAGGTTTCAGGAGATGACATACCTTGCTGAAGTTAACGAACAGATGGAGCTAGACCCCAGGGTGGCTCATTCCCAAGGCCTGGCCGCCTCTTCTCACAGGAGAGCTACTTACCGTCCTCAGCAAAAGACACAGTGCTGAGGAGAAAACTGCCGGGGCTGAAAAGTTTCAAACCAGGCAAGGACTCAAAACAAACAAAAAAAAAAACAAACAAACCGAAGCAAGCATTACCGCTAAACCCCACAAGTAGTCCCTGAGTCACTGGGGCAGAGCCAAACCAACCAACATCCATGAGCCCCCTGGCTTGGTCTTCAGAGGGTAAACAGACCAACCACTTGCCTCTATCAACCCAAGTTCTTTCTCTCTTTCTTTCTTTCAACACACGGATTGTTTTATTTTCAGGATTTTTTTTTCTAACTCCACATTGCCCTTTGACTTGATTTTAGACTTCAATTTCATGGTCAAAGTATATATCCTGAAGGGATAATGAACTTTTCTTTACTTAAAACAAGGACAATAGTATTCTAGCTGATTCTTGTATTTTTTAAAGCATATTAAAAATGTATCCCCAAAGCCAAGATGCATATCACCACCTTCAGAAAAAATGTGTATCCATCATGGATATTGCTTAATAATGGATATCTGTGATGGATACGCATCTGTGTGTCAATAATAGTAAACGTTTTCCATAATGGAATGTCTATTTTTTAATTTAAATAGTAACCTAAATTTAGTTTAATTAATTCCATATGTAACACCCAGATATGAGCCTGGGTTGTTATCTGTATAGGACATTTTTCAAATATTTACAGCTATATGTAACCATAGATTCAAAGAATGTGATTCAGTTATACCTTCTATTTTCTATTTTTATTATTTTTTTAACTTTTTTTCTTTGTGGCTCCCCTTCAGCCATTTTCCCACCCCTCTAGCCCCACCTCTGACAACAACCAAACTGTTGTTCTCTGTATCTGTGAGCTGGATTTATTTTTTTAGATTCCACATATAAGACAGATCATACACTATTTGTCTTTCTCTGTCTGAGTTATTTCACTTAGCATAATGCTCTTGAGCCCCATCCATGTTGTCTCAAGTGGCAAGATTTCACTCTTTTTTATGGCTAAATAATAGTCCATTGAATATACATATACCACAATTTCTTTTCTTTTTTTAATAATTTTTTATTGTTATGTTAACCACCAAACATTACATCATTAGTTTTTGATGCAGTGACAATTTCTTTATCCATGTATCCATCAGTGGAAACTTAGGTTGTTTCCATACCTTGGTTATTGTAAGTAACACTACAAAGGACATGGGGTACATATATTTTCCAGAGTTTAGTGTTTTTGTTTTGTTTGGATAAATACCGAGAAATGGAATTGCTGGATCATGGGGTAGTTCTATTTGTAACTTTTTGAGGAACTTCCATACTGTTTTCCGGAGTGGCGGCCCCAGCTCGCATTCCCACCAGCAGTGCACGAGGGTTCCCTTTTCTCCACATCCTCACCAACACGTGTTATCTCTTGTCTTTTTGATAGCAGCCATTCTGACAGGAGTAAGGTGATATCTCACTGTGGTTTTGATTTGATTTCCCTGATGATTCGTGATCTTGAGCATCTTTTCATGTGTCTGTTGGCCATCTGGATGTCTTCTTTGAAAAATGTCTCTTCAGATATTAGAACCAGCTGCGGAGTGATTTTGACAATCACGAAGCCCTGGCTGCACCCAGACTCAGGAGGTCAGCCCCTCTGGCCTGGGGTCTGGAGAGCGGTGGAAAGCTCCAGATTCATTCCACCACTTAAAACCTGAAAACAGTGAGCCACAGGAAGTCTTACTCGTTTCAGGTAAAAATAATAACTGAAGATGTGGAGCCAAACAGCAAGCACCACCAGCTTCATCCAGGCAAGGAAGAGTGTGCAGCATTTGAGAATGGAGCCTCCACTGAGAGAGTTAAAAGTTTCACGGGTGTCCTCCTGGGAGGAGCACCCCAGGAGCGACCCCTTGCTGATAGGGATAGCAACCTCAGAAACCCCTTTCAAGGATAAAAACACTTGCAATATCTTATAGAGGAACAGTGAAACAGCTCCTCACCTCCTCTCAACAAAGCAGATTTTTTAAAGATTATTTATTTATTTATTAGAGAGAGAGAGAGCTCGAGCAGGGGGAGTGGCAAAGGGAGAGGGAGAAGGAGACTCCCCACTGAGCAAGGAGCCTGATGCAGGACTCAATCCCAGGACCCCGGGATCATGACCTGAGCTGAAGGCAGATGCTTAAGTGACTGAACCACCCAGGCGCCCTCAACAAAGCAAATTATGAGCAGCTCCTTGGAAGAAATTTACCTTCGGCTTATTTGGTAACTGCTAATAACTAAAATACTCTAACTTGGGAGGGGGATGTCTCTTCAGATCCTCTGCCCAGTTTTTAATCAATTGCGCTTTTTGTTTGTTTGTTTGTTTACTATTGAGTTGTATGAGTTCTTTATATATTTTGGACATTAACCCTTTATTGGATATATGATTTGCCATATTTTCTCCAGCTCAGTAAGTTGCCTTTTCATTTTGTTAATGGTTTCCTTTGCTGTGCAGAAGCTCTTTAGTTTGATATAGTCCCATTGTTTATTTTTGCTTTTGGTGTTTTTGGCATCAGATTTTTAAAAAATCATCAACTCTTATGTCAAAGAGCTTACTGCCTGTGTTTTCTACTAGGAGTTTTATGGCTTTGGGTCTTATGTTCAAGTCTTTCATTCTTTTTAAGTTAATTTTTGTGTATAGTGGACCAGTTTCATTCTTTGGCATGTAGCAGTCCAGTTTTCCCAACATCATTTATTGAAGAGACTGTCCTTTCCAAATTGTATATTCTTAGCTCCTCATAATTCATTGACTGTATATATACATGGGTTTATTTCTGGGCTCTCTACTCTGTTACACTGTTTTATGTGTCTGTTTTTATGCCAGTATCATACTGTATTATAGTTACTTTGTAACAAAGAGCTTGAAATCAGGGAGTTGTGATGTTTCCAGCTTTGTTCTTCTTTCTCAAGATTGCTCTGGCTGTTCAGGGTCTTTGTGGTTCTATAAAAATTTTAGGATTGTTTGTTCTATTTCTGTGACAAAATGCTATTGGAATTCAATAGGGATTGCACTAAATCTGTAGATTGCTTTGGGTAGTATGGACATTTTATCAATATTAATTCTTTCAATCCATGAGCATGGAACATCTTCCCATTTATTTGTGTCTTCTTTAATTTCTTTCCCTATGTCTTATAGTTTTCAGAGTACGGGTCTTTCACCTCTTTGGTTAAATTTATTCCTAGGTACTTTACTCTTTTTGATGCAATTGTAAATGGAGTTGTTTTCTTTCTGATAGTTCATTGTTAATATATAGAAATGCAATAGATTTTTACATATTGATTTTATATCCTGCAACATTACTGAATTAATTTGTTCTAAGTTTTTTTGGTCAAATCTTTAGGGTTTTCTATACATAATATCATGTCATCGGCAAATAGTGAGAATTTAATTTCTTCCTTTCCAATCTAGATACCTGTCATTTATTTTTCTGGTAGGACTTTCAGTACTATGTTGACTAAAAGTGGCATCCTTGTCTTGTTCCTGATCTTAGAGCAAAAGCTTTTAGTTTTTCACTGTTGAGTATGATGTTAGCTGTGGGCTTGTCATATATGGCCTTTATTATTTGAGATACACTCCCTCTATACCCATTTTGTTGAGACTTTTTATGATAAAGGGATGAATTTTGTCAAATGCTTTTTCTGCATCTACTGAGATGATCATATGATTTTTATCCTTCATTTTGTTAATGTGGTGTATCACATTGATTGATTTGATTTGAACCTGCCTTACATTCCTGGAATAAATCCCGCTTGATCATGGTGTATGATCCTTTTAATATATTGTTGAATTTGGATTGCTAATATTTTGAGGATTTTTGCATAAATGTTCATCAGGGATATTGGCATCCTTGTCTGGTTTGTAATTAGGGTAATGTTGGCCTCATAAGTTGAGTTTGGAAGAGTTCCCTCCTCTTACATTTTCTAGAAGAATTTGAGAAGGATTAGTATTAATTCTTTGAATGTTTGGTAGAATTCACCAGTGAAGCTATCTGGTCCTGGACTTTTGTTTGTTGGGAGATTTTTTTTTTTTATCACTGATTCAATTTCATTGCTGGTAATCAGTCAGTTCAGACCAATTTATGTAAACCAGTTCGTGTAGGAGATGAATCTTGTAGCTTAAACCTGCCCTAGCTCTTGGTTGTCTCTCAACCCTGTGTGCTCATCTCAGCACCCTATTATGTTTTTAAATAGCTCCCAGTAGTTAAGTATCTGCCAAGACCAGTCAGTGTCCCAAAGGGGAGGATCTCAGCACCTAGCTTCAAGCTGATTGAAACTAGACCCTCAGGCAGCAGCTCTTAAAAGTGTGCAAATATACAGAGTCCTGGGAGACCGCAAGAAGAAGCCTTGCTACCACCAGAGCCAGGTAATCTGGAAGCATCCACCGGAAGGCAGTCACAAAGATCAGGGCTCCAGGCAAGTGTTTAAGCTCTTGTCTGGGAGATAGCAGCGAGCTGGCGCAAGGCCGAGGGAGAGTACCAAGCTGGCATCTACAGCCCGTATTCCTTGAGAGCAGCTCTGTAGGCCACTAAATATGTATCACACCTGAAGCCTATCTCTCAGGCCAAAGCTCCAGGTCAGGCAAAGAGGCTCTTTCACAGAAAGACTGGGTGTGTGCAGTGTCCTGGGGATGATAGCCTACCCACTGTCTCTCTAATTGTTACAGTCCTATGCAACCCAGGAATGTAAGTCCCCTGACCACCAGAGCCAGGAAATCAAGGGCCATCCCCTGGGCAGCATCCATAAAAATGGGGGAAGCAAACCTAAAAACCAAGGAAATATAAAAACCAGCTTTTAAAACTATGTAAATATATAGAGTCGTGTAGCACCCGGTAACTAAGCCCCACTGGCCATCAGACCCAGGCCATGCAGAGGTGTGTCCTGCCAGCAACTACAAAAATCAGAGCATAAGACAAGGGTATAAGCTCCCTTTTGGGTGACTCTGAATGTTATAGTTGCATGAGACCAGGAATGTAAGCTCCCTTAGCTTAGAGGGCCAGACAATCAAGAGGTATCCCCTGGGCAGCAGCTGTAAAAATCGGGACACCAGACACATGTAAAAAAAAAAAAAGAAAGAAAATGTCCCTTCCAGGAGATATTGGTGCTTTGGTGCATGGTGGAGGAAGAACACAAAGACGGCGCCCACCCTTCTCTGGCCCTGGAGAGTGTCCAAGCAGGCTCTGAGATGCTTGCCTCTCAGGCTGATTCTTTAATATAAGCAGGTAAGCATCTTTACCTTAAGTCTGGGCATCATTGATCTACTGCCTCTGAGCTGGGCCTGGGGTGGGTGAGTCCGAGTGTGCGAGCCCTTCGGGACCCATTTCTCAGAGGGATATAGTCTTGTGGGTGTCAGGACCTGAGCCCAGCTGTTTTTCAAAATTAGATGCCATCTCTCAGGTGCAGATCTTAAAATTTAGGTTACCTGATGTGGGGTTCAATCCCTTTGCTCCTCATGGAGAAGCTCTGGGTTTTGAGTTCCCTCCCAACTGTGAGTCAGGTGTCAGTGGTGGGGTTTATGGTGAGATTATGTTCCAGCCTTCCTACCTACTTCAGTGTGTACTGCCCTGGGGCTGGTAATCTGCCAAGCCTCATTTGCTGATGTATAGTGACAACTCAGCCAGCCTTTAGGTTTTTCTTTTAAGACGAAATTGTTCCAGGGCGCCTAGGTGGCTCAGTTGATTAAGCAACTGCCTTCGGCTCAGGTCATGATCCTGGAGTCCTGGGATCGAGTCCTGCATCGGGCTCCCTGCTCAGCAGGGAGTCTGCTTCTCCCTCAGACCCTCCCCCCTCTCATGCTCTCTCTCTCTATCTCATTCTCTCTCTCAAATAAATAAATAAATAAATAAATCTTAAAAAAAAAAAAAAGACGAAATTGTTCCATATGTAGCTGTAAATTCACTGTGTCCATGGGAGGAGGTGAATTCAGGATTTCCCTACATCGCCATCTTGAACTGTTCAACCCACACCCACCCTCCAAGCTTTTGTTCATCCAGACAAAATGGCAGATCTTAGCCAGAGCTGGTTACATACTGGTAGTGCTCCATGTGCCCCAAGGGAAGTGCAGCTATTTGTGTCTTCAGTTGGAAAACAGATAGGAGATGTTTCCACATAAAGCCCAAGGTAGCCTGGCAGGCCCATAAAATATAATACGCTGTCAGCCCTCCTCCTCCCATTGGAAGGAATAGTACCATCTGTTGACCAACTGTGGAATGACTGGAGGTCCTTCTTCAGCAGCTGTCCAAACCAGGCATCCTCAGGGACTACCAGCCAGGCTTATGCTGTTGTATACAGTGCAGACCCAGGTAATGGCAGAACCAAAGTGTCTAATGTAAATGTTGAATTTACTCACCCAGCTGAGCACTAGCTCTCTCTGCAGCTCGAGTATGAGCTTCTTGAGGACAGGGACCGTGGCGATTCATCTAGACCTATTTCCCCCCACAAAACCAGATGCTAGGCCTACAACAGGGGGTTCCATGAATACTCAGCCAATCTAACCAACTTCTTAACCTCACCACTGACTTGAATTAAGCCTCAGCTACTTCTCTTGGGAGAAATTGTTTTTCTGGAACATAGGGAGGACACTCAGATATAACAAGTCAACATTTTGAAACACAATAACCATTTAAAGCCATCTGTATTTGTTTTATTAATTAACTCCCGAAGAAAGGACTTTGCACAAGCAGTGCCCCGTGTCTACCAAGAGCGTACGTTGTGATCGTATTTCTTCTCTGTTTCTCTCTCAAGAACCAACAATTTTTTCCCCAGAGAGTGCCTTCCTCAATGTATTTCACTACCCTTGAGAAGCCAGTTTGTGCCAGAAAGGAAGGAAGGAAGGTAAGCCCTGAGAACAGGCTCCTATATCCACTCCTCTTGACCTTGAAGATCTTCTTTAAAACATGAGGGAATGAGACAAATATTCCTGAGGTTTTTATATCTTTTT